GCATATTTTGCATATGTTTTGCATATCTCGTGCATATGCATTATATGCAAAAAAATTAAAAAATATGAACCCTCCAAATAATTCTAAATCCTTTGAAACGAATTTGTGTCCAATCAGAATTTCGATATCTTCATTATTAAAAAATATGCAAAATCCGAGGTCTAGTTGTATATAGTACACAATGTAATGGAATTGCTCCGTCGTTAAATCGCTAAACCGGAGTTCTACTACATATTTTTTTACATATTCAAATTCCCTGCAGCCGCTACTTTTCAAATGAAACACACTTTTCAATTAATATTTTCATTTTGAATTTATTTTCTAATAATTTCTTTTTCATTATTTTCGAATTTGTTTATTATTAATTTTTTAATTTTCTTTATTTTATTCTCTTTTTTTTTTCATCATTTCAGTGTATGTTGTTGTTGATGTTTTGTTGTTATTTTGGTGAGAGATTATTATTAATTATCCCAACATATTTTTGTTTTTTAATATTTATAATAATTATGTTGTTGTTGTTGCATCTGTTAAGATTCTCCTTTTTGTTTTGTTTGTTTGTTTTATACCGATAAATTGTTTATGTGGTAGGTAAGTGTAATTATTTTCTTTTCTTTTTGTTGGTTTATTTAATAATTTATATAATATAAATAATATTATTTTTATTTCAATTATGTATATTCATTGATTCATTTTATTATAATGCTCTTGTTGATGTGTTGTGAATACAAAAAAAAATAAAACGGAATTATTAAAAAAAAAAAAAAAAAAAAAAAAAAACACTATGGTGGAAACGTACCACCCCACTACTGCTGGCTATGTGTGCAACGTGAAACATGAATTGAAAGGCTTCGGTTGTACTACATATTGATTAAATGTTAAATCTAAAGCATACTTTTAAAAAATTAACAAAAAATACTTGGTTTTGAAATTTGGATTAAATTTATTTTTGAAACAACTTCTCTATTGGTTGTTAAACTAAAATTTTAATTTAAACTTGAACAAACAAAAGTTTTGAAACGGCCCAAAACCGAAGTTATGCCTCAAACACCATATGTATATTAATTTTACATTCAGGCAATTGCAATAAGTTTGTCAATTTCACGTCCGGGGACGACCAGAGTTCCATATCATCCAAGGACTTTTCATTGCAATCATGTGAGATTTATACAATACAACCAAATAGTTTATCTTACTTGACATATTTTCACATAATTCTATGAAATGTTTTAATTCTAATATATCCCACAATTTTAATTTCAATCAAATAATAGCTTCCCAACTAAATTCACCAAGTTTAAAAAATTCAATGGAATATAGAATAGGTTAAGGAATCCGTTTTAAGAATAAATAAGTCTGAATTGGGATGTGCTTTCAGAAAATCGAATTTAAGTTCTACTAGAAACAAATAAATAAAAACATATTTCATTTGAAAACAACCCGATGTGTTTTAAAATAGAAATAATTATTATTATCTTTTTTTTTTTTTGTAAAAATTAACAAAAAATGTTTTATTGAAAATTGTTTATTTATTTTATGTTTAATAGAAGTCATAAATCCTAAATCATCAGTTTTAGCTGATTCTGCTACTTAGGTAGTAGGTAAAAAAGAATTATTAATTATAATAAAAAATAATGATTATAACCTAAAAAATTACAGTTCTTAAAAAACAAATGAAATCAATTATTATTATTATCTTCCTTATGTTTAGTTTAGAGTTATAAGAAGGGGGAAGGATATTTATTATTAAATATAATTACAAAAAACACAGTTTTATTTAAATTTGTTATTACTTCTTGTTGTTGTGTTTTAAATAGTTTTATGTTTTGAATTGTTTTTTTTTTTTTTTATTTTAAATATGTATATATAAAAAATCGAAGGAAACAATTTTTTTATTTTGTTTTGTTTAGAAAATAATGAATTTGTTTTAATATTAGAAATAATAAAATTATATTAAGCTAATATTTTTATTTTTTATTTTAATATATAGATATTTTTGAAATATTTTTGTTGTTTTTGTAATTATTTTTTTCATTAATTAATTATTTATAAACTAAATAACTATTCAGAATTTTTACACATTGTTCTTATATCTTTGACAGATTTTTATATTTATTGTTTGTTTATTTTTTTTTTTTTTAATTTTTTCTTGTTTGTTTTGTTTTTAAGCTTAGAACTTAAGGCAAAATTACAAACTAAATTTCTTGTTGTTATTTATTATTTTCATTAGATTTTAGTTTTTACTGTTACTCAAATAAGTAAAGTTTAAACGAACTTAAAAAAAAACATGATTTTGTAATGCAAAGATCATCTTTTGTATTGTTGTGTTTGTTAAAGTGTTTTAATATTAAATATCTATAGATTTCTTTTTGTATAAGGGTATTTTGTAATTAAATTATGTATAGATATATTTATAGTTTTATTATTATTATTTTTTATATATATACTTGTTTCATTAAATCTTATCATATTGACTTAAAATGAAAGAAAACATTTTATTTATTTATTTTGTTTTTCAATTTGTATATGCAGCATAAAATTTTGTTTGTTGTTGTTTTTACTGAATTTTACAGTGTGTAGTATTTTTTCGTATATATGTATATTTGTTGTTTTACAAATTTATATTTCTTTTACATATATAATGTTAAGAATATTATTTATATATATATTTGTTTTACTTTTATAATTATGAAAAACTATATAATTATTATGTATAGTATATATTTATTGTATGTTTTGTTTTTGTTATTATAATATTGTACATTATTTAAGAGTGTCGGTTTTTGTTTTCATTACTTGCATTATTTTTGTTTTCATGTTCCTTTAAAGGGGGGTAATGCATTAGTCTTAGCAGTTTTGTTATTTTTCATTTGTTTTTCTTTCATGTATGTTATATATGCTTTAATATTTATATTGATTTCCCATATATAAGTGTGTAATTTATTTTCATTGTAATTAGGTAGTGTTTGTTAAAATGTTGCTTTCATTTTTTAATGAATTGATGGCATCATTTCGCTATCATTTTTCTATACAGAAAAAAGTTTCTTGGTCAACCATCCAAACGATTTTTAGAGTGAAATAATGATTTTTTTTTGTTATTTGACATAAAACATTACATCCATCCACATACATTCTAATTTATAAATATTTTTTTTTTTCAAACAGCCAACATTTTTAAAACATTTAATTTCATTTTTTTCCTTTCCATTAATGGCATAAATTTAATACAAAACAAAAATAACTCTGTGTGTAGGTTATCTTCAAAACGAGAGAAAGTGAGTATAATAAATAAAACTGAAAAAATCCACACAAATAAAATTGTTATGAACAAAAATTATATAATTTATTTTCCCAAATCCTATGGCATATTTAAGTTAACACTATGTGTTAAATTTTTTAACAAGAAAATTTTTATTCACTTTAATATGGAAATATAAAATTTAAAATAGAATTCCAATAGTAGAAAGCATGTAGTTCTGAAGAATTGTTCAAAATAATCACCACTTTGGAAGCCATATAAAATAATTCAGACAAATAACATAAAAAAAAAATAATTTTAGGAAATAATTCATTAAGAACAAAGTCTTTCGACTGAAAAAAGAACATCGAATAATTCACAAATAATGAAGGAACGAATAAAAACCTTTTCTTTCCTGAAGATGTATGGCCATATGACCATTAGGTAACAAAAAATAATATTGAAATCTATATGTTCATATACAATTAAACCATAACAAAAATATTTAAATTTCGTTACTTTTATTATTATTTTTAATTGTATTTGAAAAACCAAAACGTATGCAATTCAATTTTAAGAATTTTTGTTTTTTGCCCTTGAATTATCATTCAGACCATTAAAGGCTTTTATGACACGAACACAAAACGACAGGTGACTATGTGGTTTCTTATACCGTCGATTACGACGACAAATTCACACAATTGCCAAATGAATTACCGTCTGATACATTGTGTATATAGAAATTTTATTTTGAGTTTTCTTTTAATAAATATTTATATTTAAATATAATTTAAAATCATAGATTTTTTTCCTCTCCTTACTGTTACTTTCATAACTGTTTCAATTATATATAAGAACTGATTTGTGGTTTCTATGTTTAAACGAAAATTAAAAATCAATGAAAAGTTATTATAATAATAAGAAATATACATTTGGGCATTTTTGTTTGGGAATAAGCGTTTTCTTTAGAATCTTGTCAGTAAATAGTATTGAGTCAATCATCGTAGATCATTGTTGTTGTTGTTTCTTCAAAAGTAAAAAAAAAAACTAAATATTTTCCAATTTCTTATTCGAATCATAAATAAGAATTTCAAATTGTGCTTACCGCGCTTGGATTTTCTTGTTTTGCTTTAAGAATTTATATATAGATTTTGTTGTTTTTTTTAAATATAAATACAGTAAATGGATAGTAGTTTCCAACACATTTTTCCAATTTATCATGTTTTGTGGTTGTTGTTTTTTATTTTTCTTAAAAATAACGATTGTTGTTATTGTTTGCATTGAGGTTGTTGTTATTTTTAAGGTTACCATTAAATGAGAGTTGTTGTTGTTGTGGTTGCAGTGGCGGCAATGATTGTTGCATATTGTGAGAATAATGTTGCTGTTGTTGTTGTTGGTGTTGAATTTGGGATGGATGCTGTTCAATTGTTAGATCGTGAGTTTTATACACAGTACGTTGTTGCTGCTGATAGTATTGTTGTTGTGGATTCGATGTGGTCTGTGGATGTAAATGTTGTGTTGCCGGTTGATAATGTTGTGGTTGCTGTTGCATCTGAGGCTGCTTGTGACTACGTATACGATTGTGTTGTTGTTGCTGTTGCTGTTCATCATTACTACTAAATCTACTATTGTTAGATGCTGCTCCACCCACAGTAACCGTATGATGATAGTGCTGATGTTGTTGCTGTTGTTGTTTAGAATGATGCGTCTGCTGATTTGGATGATGATATCTTACATTGGCGACAGCAGACGCCTGAAGTCACAACTAATCTTCATCGCTCAGCGCTTCGTACTGAGCCACGAGCAAAGGTTTTGGTTCATTGGGTGCACCGCCTTGTCCACCACTGCCTCCGCCACCACCAGCACCACCGCCGCCAGACGTTGTGCTTACCACCGAATTGGGACTAGCATCATGCACACCACCGCCACTACCGTGTATAATGTGCGTTGGTTGCTTGTGGGCCGATGCTGCCGAGCTGCTTTGCATTTGATGAGCCGCGCTCAAGCTCATCTGGGGCGGAGGTGGCAAACCACCGGCAGAACTTGGTACATTCAATGCACTATAGGGATAAGCGTAGGTTGTTGCTGCGAATGTTGTCACAGGCGTTGGCTGATATGAAACACCGCCCCCACCACCACCTACACCGCCACCCATACTTGAGGGATGTGTCGAATCACTGCTGGCCGAACGTCTGCCACCATCTCTGTCATCATATTGATTTGGCGTTTTACGTGGTTCATGACTATCCTTAAGTCGGTGATCGTTCTGATGATGGTGATCGTGGTCATTGGCAACTGGTCCACCACCACTGCCGGCGGCCCGATGATCATCTTCGGTTCGCATTACCTCGACTATTCGATTCTGAACATATTTCATTGTATCGAATGTGTGATTTTGTACAACTTGAGGTGGTGGCGCCGACGACGACGAACTGCCCGATGAACTACCAGGGCCTGAATCATATGGTGACTGTCGCATCAGTGACGAACCATGAGTGGCACCTGGTGGTGGTGCGCCATGTTGCTGCTGTTGATAATGATAATCGTGTGCTTGCATCATAAACTCCGGCATATATTTACGGGGGCTAACGGCCTGAGGCATTCGTATGATGTTGCGATCATCGCCAGGAGTAGTGGAACGGCCTCCGCTATTTGTTGGTGTACCGGGACCAGAACTAGAATTCACACTTGATTGTGAATTTGGAGGACCACCTCCCGCCTTTGATGCAGCCGCAGCAGCTTCCGCATCCTTCTGCACCCGTCTATTCATTTTCCATCTATCTGGTGTCACTATGCCCTGAGCATCTTGCATATAGGGCATATAGTTTGTTGGATGCGGGGCTGCCCTCAAATGCATGGGATTTGGGCCATAGTCATTCGTAATAATAGTTTCGGCCAATTCACCGAAAGTGATATTTTTCGTTCGCATTTGCGACGACTGTGACGGAGGTGGAGCTTGTGACGTGGGTGGTGGTGGCCCACTATTGCGGGCATTGCGACTTTGTCCGGATTCATGTTGAGGATTGCCACCCGGGGCACCGCTAGATGAAGACGATCCCACACTGGCTCGGTCGTTGTCCAAATCAATGTTTATAACATTTGGTGAAGAGGATTTGCCATTGTTTTCAGACGCCTGCAATGATGATATTACATTGGAAGCATGTCGGGGTGGAGGGGCTCCAATGTCACGGGAATTGTACTGGAAATGAGAAAACAAATTGACATTAGTATCACCGCACTGCACCGTTTCGGGCTAAATAGGAAGCTAGACAATACAATAACACTTCATTTGAGACTTACAAATCCACTTCTGGGCAAATCACGATTGACACTCAGACTGCCAGGTTCGGTACTGCTTTGGCTTATTTGATGTTTAATTATCGCATCTATTAGGTTCTGGGCGGAAAAAGTTCCATCAGTTGGGGGCTGGCCCGGATGTCTTAGGTCTCTGTGGTATCTAAAAATTCGAAGAGATATGAAATAATTACGATTTCAAAATTTTGCCCCGCCCTATTTCTAATACTTACGGATCTCTTTCACGATCTGGTATCGATCTTGGTGGCCCTGAATCGGGTGGTCCTCGAATGTAATGGAGTCCAGCGCCACCTGTAGCCGCCGCAACAGCCGCTGCGGTTGCTGCATTACCAGCATAGATGCGTTCCATCCGCCTGCCATCGCGTTCTCGCTCTTCGGCAGCTCGTTCCTGTTCTCTTCGCTCACGATCTCTTTCTCGATCGCGCTCCCTTTCTCTTTCACGATCTCGTTGCTCACGTTCACGATCTAGTCGTTCGGCATGCATTCGTTCTATGCGATCGCGTTCTTGCCTCTTCTGTTGCATGTCACGATCTCGTTCCCGTTTCGCTTGTTCCATGCGCCGTTGCATATCGGCCTGTTGCTGACGGTACTGGTGTTGGGCGGCAGCCTGTTGCTGTTGGGCCGCAGCTGCAGCCATGGCGGCCTGCTGGTGATGCAACACGGCCATGTGTTCACGATTCATTTGATAGCGAATTGCATCGTGATGCGTAGGCGGCGGCTGCTGTGACTGGGCTGACGATTGAGGAGGTGGCGGCGGGCCCGAAGACACCGCCGATGACGATGAAGGGGACTTGTCGTCCTTCTGTGAGGGCACTGGCAATTGTGGCTGCTGTACGGCCAGATCAACGAATGACGAGAATGCATCGTGACCGGCTAAAGAAATAAAAGGATCCAAATGAACTTTCCGGCCACCTGATTCTCTTTCTATTTGTTCAGCGGTCTTACCTGGCGGGTAATTGTGCGACATCACAACAGGCATCCGACCTTGGGGTGGTGCTGCAGGTGATGGTGGTTTGGAACCGCCAGTGTTGTGGCGTTGGATAACACCTTGTCTAGCCGGTGGTGGAGTACGGTGTGGACTGGGAGTACTTGAAATAAAAAAATACAAATATAATAATTACAAAATATTCAGCTGAGCGGTTCTCTTGGCTTACCTGTTGCTGTGTTCTGCGGGCGAAGCTCTGCTCGAGTACTCTGTACGGCCTCTATCCTTATCGTAATACACTAAGCCACTTCCGCTGTTTCGTGGCGATGGTGATTCCTTTCCTGAACCGGGGGCTCCTGTTGAATTAGCACTGCCACTTCTGGGCACACTGCGTTGCTGCAGTCCTTGCATCTGTTGCGACGTTTTGTAGTCGTGCATTACGATTTGCCTGGTGCTCAGTACCGGAGATTGCTCCACGGTGTAGGGTGCTCTCGAGTAACTGCCAACGGCGTAGGCATTTTGTGGTGGGGCCTGTGGCGATGATTGCTGTTGCGACTGTGGCGGCGGTGGTGGGTGATGTTGCTGAGCTGGACTTTGGCGCTGTGACGGTTTGTAAGCATATTCGTAGGCTCTCTTATTGTCCAAATGGGCTGGCAAATGAATGGGAGTTCCCTGGGTAATGGAACCAAGTTTGTTGTTCTCAGTCGGCCCACCAGCCCCAGATGGAGGTGTTTGCCGTAGCAGGTTGTCGAACTTGGGGCTTAAAGTAGCACCGGCGGTAGCCGAGTGAACAATAATCTGCTGGGCCGCATTACTGACGGGTGTGCCATGGGTAATGGAACCCTTTGGACCGACAAGCAATTGCTGTTGTTGCAGTTGCGACGGTGAAGGTGCCTGCCCATGGGAACTGGGCGGGTGTATCAGTTGTGGACTCAATTTGGGTGGCATTTTGTTCACCCCTCCTACGCCTCCTTTACTGTGTTGGCTCGACAACTGCATGTGTGTTGGAGGAGGCTGTGAAGGCGGCACTTGAGATGGACCACCTCGTCCCGAACCACTACTAACTGGTACGCCAGGTGCCGGTTGGGTTATAGGCATGGGGACAGGTACTTGTGACACATAAAGAGATCCCGGCGGTGGAACTTTACCCACACCGACACTCGCTGGGTGAGGATGATAAAGGTACGCGTGATTGGGCGGAGCTCCGATTAAGGGTGTGGGATCGGAACCACGATACATGCTGGGAGCATTGCCAACATGTTTGACTGCCAAACTAGGCGGAGGCTGCTGATGCCGTGAGACGCCACTCTCACTGCCACCGCCCACGCCTGAAGAGGATGTTGACGACGACGAATTATGGGGCGAGGGACCATCACGAGATGGTTTCTTTATGGACAAATCTAATGTTTGTGGTTCGGGTTCGTTGTTGCGCGATGTGGCGTAAATTATGGTATCCGGAGGTGGACCAGGTACCACGTGTGGCGGCGTCGATGTTTTCCCTGACTTTAGTACTGGTGTAATTGTAGCCTTAATGTCGTGCTGTTGGTGGTGAATTAAACCTCCGGGGCCGCCTGGAGGCATCAAATGTTGACCCTGTATATAGGAGTTGACCACTGACAATGTGGCCAAATTCTCTGGATGCCCGGGTGCACTTGAACCAGCCTGTGGCGGCTGAGGAGCACCTTGCTGTTGTGATTGTCGCACATTCAAATTTTGTACGGAATTCACAGCACTACCGCCGCTTGCCACAATGGGTTGTCCATGGGCCTGAGGTTGATGTTTGATGGACCCATCATTCCGGTATTCTCTAACTAGCATTACATCATTGTTGGAATTGGAATTGTTGTTGACATTGCTGTTTCCAATGCTACTGTTGTTACTAGAATTGTTGTTGCTATTAGCCGAGCTTCCACCCATGATGTCGTTGCGAATTCTATTGTTGGGCGACGAATCGACAGACAAGCGCATAGGCGGTTGTTGCTGCTGCTGCTGTTGTTGCTGCTGAGCTTTAGCCATTGCAGAATTGGGAAGCTGATTTGATGTAGCCTGATTGGATGGTTTAGATGGAGGTGGGCCCTTCTGCTTGAGCGACCGCTCAATAACCGTGTACAGAAAGTCTTGTAAGTCGGCGGCAGTAGCCGATGACTGCATGGGTCCATTTACGGCTGCACTTGGTGGTGGACCCAGGCCTGTGGCCGTGGATACTACAACGGAATTACTGCTGCTACTACTACTATTCGTGTTATTCAATATCACTTTGGGACTTTGACGATTGGCTGGAGAATTTTCATTCTCTTCATCGGCGGTTTCTGTGGCCGAGGAGTCATATTCCTCGGAAGTCTTTTGTTTCTTGGGTGCATGGCCCAATGGTGGCAGCAAACGTTCATCGGACTTGACGATACTTACAGATTGGGAGCCAACTACATTACCACTAACTGTACCACTACCACCACCACTACTCGAAGGCGTGGTGGTATCGGGAGTGCTAGAACTGTTTGCGCCACCACCACCACCGACAGCAGAGTTTGCTATGCCGCCCACAACTGTGGTAACTTGTTGTTGCATATTGGCGACCATTTGTGCGGACGATGGCTTCTGCACTAGATCCTTGGCAATCGAATTATGACGCTGAGGATTTTCTGGACTCTCTACAGAGGCAGTATCACTGCCGCCGGGTTCGCGTTCATCACACGACGATGTACTAACATCCGATTCATCGCCATCTGTACGCCGTTCTTCATCCGTTAGATTAATGTGCGGATCCAATTTGCGCCGAATACGCATCAGACAAGCCGAACAGCAACGCGTTGCTTGGGCAGGTATTTGGAATTCTTGCATAATGGGATCGCGTACATCCAGTGCCAGTTCATAGAGGCGGGCTGGTATATTATGCAAACGTTTGGCACGATCTTTGGGATTGGGACAGGTCGGCAGAGGACAATTAGGATAACGGGTGCGTACCGATTTGCATTGACATGTATTACAGACACGTGCTCCAACTGGTATAGTATCATCGGATATGCCATACTGTTGACCACGACCTTTCTTGAGCGGACGAGTGCGGGGACAATTTTCAGCTTTACAAACAAAGCAGGTGGCAAGTTTATCTGAAAAGATAGAAAGAAGAAGAAAGGATGCAATTAGTTAAATGCAAAAAATTGAAAAATGCATACAGTATATAAATGACGGGGAATTTAGAACAACTACTATAGTTTCGAATCAATTTTTGATGTTTATGAGAAGAAGAATGAAATACTGCGAACTGGAGAGTCTGTCGACAAGCGGAATAGTGTTAAAAGCAATAAATAGAAACAAACATATACATTATGTTCGGAATTAACTCACTGACTTCAACAATTCGATTCGATTGCGATTACAAAAGCAAATGATGCCCTTTGGAGTCGATTCAATTCTTTGATTAAATAATAATATCTTGAAATTATTTGTTGAGGGAGGGAGGGGAGAACGAAAGCAAATGGGACAGAGCAGCAAACATAAAATAAATCACGTTAATTAAAATATAAAATCAAAATACATTTTCAAAGTATATTTGTATTGGAATGTCTATAACATTTCCTTTTTAAATACAACGCCACCGCCTCTTCTCTGCCATTTGTCCATTTATTGTTGTCCTTTGTTACTTGTCCAATGAATGTTTAACGGTTAAAACAGTAAGTGGTGTTTTGAGAATGGTCACACAACCATCCCATCATCATCCTTAGCATTATCTTTATCATCAACGTCATAACCACACACCACCGCCACCAATCCATTCGAAATGAAAATTGCAAATAATTGTAAGTGGTTTATTAAAAATTAAACAATTTTACATTTCTCTGTTATTTCGTTCAATTTGTTTTTTGTTTTTGTTTTCGTTTTTTTTTTTTTTTTTTTTGGGTGCTGGTTTTTCTGAACGAAACCAAGCCGACTCAGACGAGAGAATACTATTTTGATATATGAACGAGTATGTGTGCACATCAACATCATGGACGAGATTTACCGGAGATGAAGTAATGCCACCTTTTTGTATTTTAAATATTGGACCTGAATGAATAATCAAATGACCAAAGCAATTGGCAAAAAAAAAAAAAAAAAAAAACAATAACAATAAATGAAATCAGAAGGGCAAGGGGTCGGCGGTTGTGAGGGATGAAATTTGAATTGAAATTTTTGAAGTAAAATTTGTTTAAATAAAAGGAAAAGGGATTTACAATACCGAATTAAATGTGTCGGTACATAAGAAGTAAAATGAAATTTGTCATTCAATTTGCAACACATTGAAATAATTGTTCGTCTGTTGAAATCAAGATAGAGGATCACAATATTTAACTAAGAGATCTGACATTTTTAAATAAATAATGTTAGTACTTCGAGGAATATCAGTCTACGTCAAGTTCTTTGCTCAAGAAATTCTAATTTTAGAATAAATTTCAATTCTAAGTTTAGCTTTTATGACAATAACTAGAAATGAGCTAAATATAATCTATTAATTTTTATTATTTTACTAAGACCTTCTGCCGGCTAAAAGTTTTCGCATTACGAAAAAGAAAAACATTTCACGAAAAAGCTAATTTAAATACCCTTTTGTTAAGTGTATTTACATTTTTCTGCCATGCATTTATCTTAATTGCGTTACTTGTTTCCCTTTCCCAGCCCACATCGTCATCATGCGGCAGAGATAACTCCCTTTGCTCTCTTAATGTTGTTTTACATGTGCGGAGCAGCAGCAGCAACATTATTACTCCTCATTCATCCTCGTTGCTTATTAGTAATTCATCATTATTTTTAATTTCTTACCATTATCACTTAACTTGTATTTGTTTTACGTTTTTTTTTATTCTTTTTTATCTGTTCACCTCCCCCTGATGTTCAGCAAACAAAGTTTGGTCTGTGTGTCCATTTACATTTTTTCCGTTCTGCTCGGCTCTGTGTTGTGTATTTATTTGAATATCATTAAAATTTTAATAAAAGCCCAAATAAATACACAAACTGGAGATTTCAATACAAATTAAAAATAAAAATGAACGAAATATAAAAAAGTAACCACCAAATCTGTCATTACCGTAAATCGTATAATTATGGAAAAGGGAGGTTGGAGAGATGATGATGATTGTGAGGGGTATCTTTGGATTTTGATATATTTTTAATAAATTGTTAAAGGTTGTTCATGTGCAAATTTCTCAAGTGGCAAGAAGAAACATTGGAATTGCATTTAAAAATATTTATTCCCAAAAAACAGAAAACCCGCATTGTCGTCGATATTTTAATTAACTTTTAATAACACATTTAATTCAATAATTATTATATACTCAACTCATATAGGTAATTCAATTTGTGAAATATACACGAACCAAATTCTAGAAGTGCCAACCAAGCTAGCAGTAAGTTATTAATAACCGATTACTTTGCGATGATAAGAAATTCAATTGTAATATTAACACCCCTAATCAAGGCTTTGAAATGTTATAGGGTTATGGTGTGACCACTGATCCAACAATCTGATGACCAGGTTTTTTGATGGATGATAAAAATCTCTGTTTGACAAATGGGTAAATAAACAAATTGAATTGACATTAACATGACACAAATAAACAAATAATCGACATGTTTATAAATATCGGGGGTCATATGGTGGGGTAATGTTTAAACATTTGCTTGCATGTCAGTATGTTCTCTCTCGCTCTGTGTGTGTGTGGGTGACACAATATTACATTTTGTTATAAAGTTTTATTTACACCTGAAATGTTTACTATGTATGTATATTGTGTATAAAAACCTTTCTCTTTACTTCACTTTGATAAAACGCCATAGATTTTTTTCAACTTCTCTTCAAAATGTTCTCCCCCTTTTGCCCCAACCATTCATCCCACCCACCACATATTATATATTTACACACAACTGTCAAAAGTAGTGATGATGATGTTGTGATGGTTGTTGATGACGACGACGAGAAGGCAGAGAGACAGAGAACAATATGAAAATTGATTAACTCAAAAAGAATAAAAAATCAAACAAAACAAACAAAAAAAAACGCGACAGGTAAATCACAAAGTGAGGTCGTTGAGCAGCAGCAGATTGGCAACGACCAATGGCCAATCAGACAAACTGCCGGCCGGGGGGAGTAATTGTAATTAATTACTATTTATGTATGTATGATGATAAAATGTATTCTTACTTAAACTGAAAAAACCCACGAAACAACATCAAAATATATATTTTTTAATTATTTTCATTACTCTGCTGCTTTGCCGAAGAGAAAATGGCTCAGTGGAGTTTTGCTTTCTTTTTTTGTTGTTTTTGTGCTGCGGTTGTCACTTTAAATATCATTTAATTAACACGATTTTCCATTAATTCAAGTTATTTACACATGAACGATTTTTCTCTGCACGATTGTGTGTGTCATTATTTTTTTCCTCTCTGCTCTCCCCCGCGCTCATCTATATCTGTGACATAAAACAATTCTACCAGTGACATTTATATGGCTCAGCAGCTTCAATACTTGATGGACTTCTTTGTTGTGGTGAGTAGTAGTGCGTAGCAATGTGTGTGTGTGTGTGTGTATCATCACTACTACAGACAAAATACTGTTGCTCCTGTCGATGATGATGATGTTGAATGATATTGACGATGATTGTAATGCGCCATTGGTCTGTCTGTGGGTTGGATGCAGCTAGCAATACAATCAATATAACTGAATATTGACAATATCAGCAATTTATGTCATCAAACATGAAAGCAGAGAGAGAAGACAGAGGAGAGAATGATAGATAGGCATTATAGCTAAGGTATTGGTCGACTTTTGTGTTCTCTTAAAAGAGATTTTATTTCATTAATGAGAAATATAAACACTTGGATTCAGTTTAACAATTTTTTGTGTAGGATTTTGTTAAAAATTAAAAAAAAAAAACAAATGAATTCTGAATAGACTTCCTTACTGATCATCGAGTGGACGGAGCATTAACGTCAATACACCCGAAAAAGTCGAAAAATCACACTTTTATGGTATTATACGATCAAAGAAGTGAGGCGTGGGTTCTCCATTGTGTATTAAAAATCCAAACAAGGTATTTTTGCCTTGCAAAGTTTCTAGAATTTTCAAATTTTAGTTGTCAAATTTCAAAATGTTCAATCTTACCAATTATAGAGTACATTTATCCAAATCAAAGTGTTGACACTAAAAACCAACAATGGACAAAGCACAAACTGCATGAGGCCATAAGTTTAAATAAAAAGGATTTATCGATAGAGCAAACGACAGCTGGATGGGCTCCTGTACGCACGCACAACAAACACCCAACAGCAGAGCAGTTCAATCAAAACAATAAAAATTGTCAATTCAATGGATGGATGGGAAGGATGAATGTCTGGTTTCAATTTTTTTGTTTCTGTTTTTCGTTTGCAAATGCATTTGTTGTTTGTCTAAGTGACACAAAAGTTTGCTTTTAATATTTTTATACAAATCCATTAGTATTTGAATGGGTAAAAAATGTAGTTATTGTTTTTCCAAAATTCTTTATAAAAAATATTAGAAATTCATCAGCGCAACAATGTGGGACGGACAAAAAAAAAACAACATTATTGCATTTGTAAAGATAGATATTTGTGCATTGTAAACAAAACTACTAAAAATGGAAATTTTATTTTCATAAAAATATCCTTTGAATTTGTTGTTTTTTATGCGTATTGACTTATATAATCAAAGTAAGAGAAAGAGAAAAAATAAAAGCGATGGGATTATCCATTTATGATCCCATGAATGTGGTAATTAATTAAATTTTATTACCAAACAATGCTACAGACAAACAAACATATTAATGGCCATAAACTGAAATTGACCTACAACAACATACCGCAACTGTTTGGTTATAGTTGCTTCATTTTTGTTTTGTTTTTGGTACGAATGTACATTTTTTCATTCGTTGTCATTTCACAATTCAGTACGTCCATCCATCGATACAGCCCAGCACCGAGTTTTCTGAATGTGTAATATTTATGTCAACATCATCAACGTCATTGCTGGCTGGCTGTTCTGTTCAGTTCTGTTGTGATCTGCTGACTCCGTGTATTGTAACCGGAAAATGAAATGGGAAGCATGAAGGAGATTTAC